AAAAAAAAAAAAAAAAAAAGACAAGAGAAAGTACCTTTGCCATTTGAGGAATATGTTCTGAGGCTTAATTTTATTTTTAGATTCAGGGACAACCTAAGGCTTTTTGACCAAACAAGTTCGGATTTAGTTCTCTAGAAGATGCCTAGATCCCTGGCAGACAATTGAAAAGACACTTATCTGTGAAAGAGAAAGGTAAATGGCATCTTTAGATCTATACAGATAAAATAATTTATAAAAGTTGAAAATCTTACCACCAAAATAAAAATTTTCTATATGCATCATTAAGTAGTATAACCAAAAACCCAAGTTATGATGAGAAAAACAAACTTCCAATTGTTAGTGTGATTTAATAAAGTGCATGTAAATACTATATTCAAGCACAGATCAAAGGATTCACTTTTATAGTACAGCCTCACTGCATTGTGCCTGTGGTAAAATGACACAATGCATTTCACAAATTTGGGGTGTCTTATAAATGGGAGAGGGAGACTCCATATTAAATTGATTAATAAATACCACCATTTACAATTAAATGCTACCTAGCTGGATACAGGACTGTATATACAATATGGCACAAATTATGTCAGAAAATAGCATACACATGCATACATATAGGTTAAAAACACTGAAAGGAAGTGTATGCTCATAGTTGTTATCTCTGGGTAGTAAGATTGAGGTGGATTTGGTTTTCTTCTGTATATGTTTCTATCTGTTCAGTTTTTTTTAAGTTATCGTATTTATCTTTTTTATATAATCAGATAAAATCATTTTAAAAGCAGTAGTATACTTGTTTTTTTCCAGGGCCTTAAGAAATACATGCGGCTTATTTATGGAGGGATCAGGACAGCACTCTGAGTGCTCCTCTTTGCTTAGAAGTCCTCAGCTCCAGAGCTGAACCAGTTAGCATTGAACCCAGGACAGGGAGAGTAAGTTCCGGCATTCAGGCCATATGGTAGTTTTCTTCTCACTTACTAATGCCCTCTTACTAATGCCTTAAAAAAAAAAAAATGAATGTTTTTTGATGACCTTCTCTTTGACATATGAGTTAGAAAACAGGGCAAAGCACTTGAACCATTTCAAATCTTCTCTCTTCTTTTAGGAGATAGACAAGAGAATGACAAGGAGAACCTAAACTTGGAAAATCACAGAGACCAGGAGCTTCTGCATGCTTCCTGTCAAGCCTCAGGAGAGGTACCTTCTCAGGTTTCCTTGAGGGGCTTCTTTAGTGAGGATGAGCCAGGATGCTTTGAAGAAGGAGAGAATCTCCCTGAGGCTCTGCAAAACATTCAGGATGAGGGAACAGGGGAACAACTCCCTCAAGAAAGGATTTCTGAGAAACCACTCGGTCAGCATTTGCCTAATCCTCATTCAGGAGAAGTGTCCACTATGTGGCTTGAGGAGAAGAGAGAGACCTCCCAGAGGGGGCAGCCAAGAGCCCCCATGGCCCAGAAGCTCCCCACCTGTAGGGAATGTGGGAAGACCTTTTATAGGAATTCTCAGCTTGTTTTTCACCAAAGAACTCACACTGGAGAGACATACTTTCAGTGCACCATCTGCAAAAAAGCCTTTCTGCGAAGTTCAGACTTTGTGAAGCATCAGAGAACTCACACAGGAGAGAAGCCCTGTAAATGTGATTACTGTGGGAAAGGCTTTAGTGACTTCTCAGGATTGCGCCACCATGAGAAGATCCACACAGGAGAGAAACCCTATAAATGTCCCATCTGTGAGAAAAGTTTCATTCAAAGATCAAACTTTAATAGACATCAGAGGGTTCACACAGGAGAGAAACCTTATAAGTGTTCCCATTGTGGGAAAAGTTTCAGCTGGAGCTCGAGTCTTGACAAACATCAAAGATCCCACCTAGGAAAGAAGCCCTTTCAATAGCCGGTCACCACACACTGTCTGCCCATTTCCATCTCCCAGCCCATTAAAAAAAAACTCAGCTCCGTCAAGAAGAATTATGTCTCTAAGAGGATACCCCTGATGGCTCCTTTTTTCATGGATTGGAAAGAATCTGGACATGGCTTTGGACTTGGAGGATATCTTGGATTGGATTTCATAATGGCTTAAATTCTTGATTCTGCCTCAGGACAAAGAATACTCTTTGTGTTTCCACTCATCCTTCCTTTGGACTTATTGGGGAAAAAGTCTAAATTGGAGATCCAGTTTTAGAAGTGCTTTCTGGGAGGCATTTAATGGGATTAGCTGTAATCACTGCTTAGGGGAAGAACCTGAGATCAGCCCCTTAAAGTGGGTTCTAGAGCAAGTCTTCTGTTCCAGGAGAGAAGGGGAGACACATAGAGGAGCGGTGAGCTCACGTGTGCTCTTTGTGATGGGATGAAAAACTAACTTCAAGTGTTCCTTGTTTGAAATAAACTTAGCAGAGTCTCTTCCTATCTTGTTTGAAGTATTCACTGTGTGTTTGACTGTATTTCAGAGCACATTATTTCATAGAGGACCCTAGGCAGTTGAGTGCCAAAATCAGCTCCTGTAAACCTATCAAGGTCATTATGTAGCAGAACAGTAACAGGAAAGTGCTAGCCTAACGTTCAGAGGATGAGAGTCTGGCCAGTGCGGGCAATCCCTTTATCTCAGGTCACTTTGTTTTTGGTGGCCTCTTTCTGAGCCAACCTTCCACTTGATCTCTTGCTTCAAGCCGCCCCTCTTTCTCCTAGCATCCCACCTGGGCTATCATTTTTGCCAAAGTGCTCTATGCTTTAAAATTACCTTTATTATACTCTCATTTTGTCTGTGTTAGGAAGAAGTCAATAGTATTGATCTAATTTATAACACTGTCTAGAGGTTTATTAACACATGTATCTAAACTGTCCAATTGTCCTTGTCTCCATAAGTTACATGCCTCAAAGTGTCCTGCCTGTAGAGTGAGACTTCCCCCTTCCCCGCCATCTTCCACCTCCTCTTTTTTGCCTGATCTTATTATACTACTCTGGGTGAGGCTCAGGAAGGATAATGCCAATGTGGCCGGAGTTACTTCCCTGAAAACAGATTAACCTATAGTCAGTAAGCTGCAGTACATTACTAGTTGATGGGAGAGGAGGGACTCAGGAAGGATAACGCCAATGTGGACGGAGTTACTTCCCTGAAAACAGATTAACCTATAGTCAGTAAGCTGCAGTACATTACTAGTTGATGGGAGAGGAGGGACAAAACCCAAGCTGGAGTTCTTGGATTCCAGCAGTAAAATTTATTAACTCCCTTACATCATGCTGATGAGAAATAAGGCCTCACTTAGGAGGTACAGGAACCGCAAGGAAGAAGGCAAGAAAATTACAGAGGAATTAGCATTAGATTCCATATTCTGTATGGCAGAGATTTATAGGATGATGGGATTTGAGGTTTTAAATCATGGGTTCTCAAACTGGCCCCCGGACCAGCAGCATGGGCAATTTGTTTAAACTTACTGAATCAGAAATACTGAAGGGCAGGTCACAGCAATCTTTGTCTTAACGAGCTCTCCAGGGGATTCTGATATCTGTTCAAATTTAAGAACCACTGTTCTAAATAGCAATAAAAAAATTATGTGTCTGTGGGAATAGACACATAAGGAATACTGGGTCCTCCCATACTTTTCTTACAAATAAGCTGCCTCATAGAGCTTTTTAAAACTCATCAAAACTGTGGAACCCATCAGACTTGCAGTGAAAATTTGTTCCAGAGATAAATCTAGAAAACTTTTAGACTAAAAAGCTTTAAAGGTTTCTTCTTCATTTCCTCTTAAATGATTTAAAGAATGACAGAGATACTTCCTCTTTACTTGTTCACAGTTGTATCCACAACAAATAGTAGGTGTTAGGTTAAAATGTATTGAGTGGATGCATGAATTAATGAAGGATAATAAATATCAGTATAGACCTCCCTTATCCTCTGCAGCAGGGATCAGCAATATGGCCCATTGCTTGTTTTTGTAAATAAAGTTTGTTGGAATGCAGTCACACCCCTTCGTTTACTCATCATTTATGGTTGTCCTACCGTGGCAAAGTTGCAAAGTTCAAACGGAGGCATTGTGGCCTGTAAATAATAAGGTATTAACTAACTCGTTCTTTATAGAAAAATTGTGGTGACCCTGCTCCAGGGTAGTGTTTCTCAAACTATAACATGCATACACATTTCTTAGAGAGATTGGTAAAATGGAGATTCCAGTTCATGGGTGATGCCAATACCACTGGTCCAAGGACCGAGTGGAGTAGCCTGGAGCAAGAGTACCTAGGATAGTGTGTGTAACAAGGTCAGGGCCCAGGTGTTTGTGGCTTATTTCCCTTGGTCTCTACATGATCATTTGTGACTCAGCAGCTCTCAGACCCTGGGCCAGACACAGTTGAGTAAATCATTTTATTAAGAAAGGTTTAGCATTATGAAATATTCCTCTTCTAGTTCCTGGGTTCATATTCCTCCAGCTCAGCCTCACTTTAGGCATATCTCTCCAAGTTCCCTAGAGGAATTCTACAGAATTGTGAGTGCTCATGGTTTGTTATCTTTCTAAGTGTCTGTGGTCACCCTTCACCCACCTGTCCCTCTGGGCAGCCTCCAAGCCCAGACTTTTTCTTTTCTCAGTGGCTCTGCAGAAAGCTAAATCTGAAGAAGCAAGGCTACACCAGCCAGAACCCACTTGGATGGGTTTTCCTTAGTCTTCAGGTTGAAAGTCCACACATAGGTGGGTCCCCGCTGACTAGTCTTGTACACAGGACAGCAATAGACACTGCGGCAATCCTGCTTATCTGCAGGAATGGCCTTGATGAACATCACAGGCATAGGGGGTGTCAGATCCTTCAGCTTTGCCTCTGTAATGATCCCAGCCTGAGGATAAAACATGAGAAGAGGCACCTTAGATGCAGGCTGTCTGAACATTGTCCTGCTTTACTGTTCTGTTGGCTCTTGGATGGGTTTCCTAGGGCTGGTGTAATAAAATGCCACAAACTTGATGGCTTGAAACAACATATTCTCTCACAGTTCTGGAGGCCAGAAGTCCTAAGTCAAAGTGTGGGCAGAGTTGGTCCTCCTGGGGGTTCTGAGGCAGAAAGCATCCCATACCCTTCCTAGCTTCTGATGGTTGCTGGCAATCCCCGGAATTCCTAGGCTTGTAGATGGATCACTCCAGTCTCTGCCTCCACCTTCATAGGGCATTCTCGTCTGTGTCTCTACATGGTCTTGTGTGTGACTGTGTGTGTGTGTGTGTGTGTGTGTGTGTGTTTGATGTAATTTAACTGCAAGCCTGTATGGAATGAATGAATACATTACCTACTGCTGATAGTACTCCAAGAGACTGTTACTTGCTATATCTAACAAAATGGTAACCATTATAAAACATGTCCCAACAAAATTTTCCATCTCCTTTTTCTTTTAGATTCTTTTTTTTTAAAATTTCAACTCATAGATACAGGGGGTACATGTGCAGATTTGTTACATGGAAATGTGTGATGCTGAGGTTTGGAGTATGGATTGATCCTCATCTAGTTAGTGAGCATAGGACTGGACAGGTAGTCTTTATTAACCCCCACTCCTCCCTCCACCCTCTAATAATCCACAGTATTTATTGTTCCCATATCTATGCCCATCTGTGTGGTCTGTATGAGAGTACTGGTCATTGGATTTAGGGTTCATGATAATCCAGTATGACCTCATCTTAACTAATCAAAGACCTTATGTCTAAATATTCATTCTGGGGTTATGCCTAGACATGAATTTTTTGGGGTACTACTGAGCCAAGTATATCTCTGTGCATATTCACATGGCCTCCTGGGATCTTCTGGATCTTCTAACAATTTTGCCCCATTAGCTTTATCTTGACTGCTAAGAATAGTTTAGTGTCACCTGTCAAGTGGGATATTTGACTACGCACTCTTTCCAGATTGTATACAACAAGTGTACACTGCTAGAGTTATCCATTCTTGTTCATTTCATTTATCCCAGGCATCTGCTTGTTTTCCAGTTTCTTATCTGTGACAAAACGTCTTCTCCAATCTCATGGTGACTCACATTTTTATTAGCCTTTGATGAGGAGTCCTTTCAAAATGCCACTTTAAGCGATACCTACTGACTCCTCTTTGCCGACATAAGACAACATGAAAGGCAGAAGATTCCTGCCCTTTGAGAGCTCATGATAAAGAAAGTGGACCAAGGAGGCGAACTAATATACCCCAGACACACACAGCAGCAGCAGCAGAGATAGCTGACTCCAACACTTTTTGAGCACCGCCTATATGCCAGGCACCGTTCAAGTGTCTTACATAGTAACTCGCTTAATTTTTATGATGACATTATTCTTCCATCTAACAGGTGAGGTCTGGAAATGTGGAACTATATCTCAGGTCACAGAGTTAATAAATGATGGTGTTGGGACTCAGATCCAGCCAGTCTGGTTCCAAAGCCCTTGCTATTAACCTCTCCACTCTACTCCCTCTGCAAAGCCTATGCTCTTTGCACCCCCCTTGGCTAGATAAAAATGGCTTTATGGCCTCAGAGAAAGAACGGTTATCTAGATAAAAAGATTCAGGGGTATCTCTTTTAGTGGTCAGACTTCACAGGAAGCAATGTGTATTTAATCAGCCCCCCAAAATATGCCCTTCGGTTCATCCCAGGCTTTACCTGTGTGTCCCAGCGGGCGCCTTCCATGAAGAGGCCATGGACGTAGACCCCTTCCCGAGGAGGACTCCTAAACTCTTCCCTGTTCTTCTTTGTCACATCACATTGCAGGGCCATCTGGTCCAGTGGCCACTCATTCTTGCGGGCTGTGGACTGCATGATGGCCGTCAGGAAGGACTGGGGGTTGAAGAAGGCTGTCAGCCACACAGTGGAGGGCATTGTAAAGTCACTAGCTGTCCAAGCCTCTAGCTCCTTAATTCTGTTGAGGAGGTCTAGGAACCAGGCGGCCAGGCCTGTGGTGGAAGGATAGGCTCGTCTAGCCCAGGACTCTGGCACCATATCGAAGTACAGGGCATTCTGTAAGTTTTCCATGTGGCTGGTCATAGTCAGCTCCCCCTGAAGATAAAGAATGAGACAGGGAAAGAGTGAGAAGGTGGGAAGTCCCTGTAAACAACTGGCGTCAGAGACCCCTGGCTCACAGCACCTAGGCAGACAAGAGTTATTCATCCTTGTTCATTTCATCTGAACGTGACTCCATGGGTGGGTAACACAATGACTGTCCTGTCTAGTACTTGCTTTGCAAGGTTTGTCTCACAGAAGCTGGTCCTTGAAAACTCTCCCTGCTCTGGTGATGTCAGAGTCTCACCTGTCTACTGACAGTGTTTCAAAAAACACACAAAAGGCAGAAGATTCCTTCCCATTGCAGACTTTAAACAACTTGTGGGTTCTATGCCATGTGACCTGACTCTAAAGCTTGAATTCCATGGCTTTCCTGCATGCAGCTTAGAAACCCAATTAGC